GTTCTACTCAACGGCCTGGAGTATGATGCTGTTGAAATGCCTCCTTAGCCTATGTCTAATCCATCTTCATTTCATTCGGCACATTTCCTGGAAAAAAGTTATTTCTATTTGGCTGTGCATCAGCGTTCTTTGATGCTGACTTATCCTTTCTGGCCGACCACTTGATATTAAGCATTAAGAAAGGCGGAAATCTGTTGATGAAAGACTACAGTACCCCTGTTGGAGGAACTACTATAGACCAGAAATCATTTGGCGAGCTGTTTTGTCCTATGTCGAAACTCGTCATCACTTGATGGTTGTGATTTTGACCTTGTTAAAATACAGCTACTAGTAGAGTGAAATTTCTATTTATTTATTGGCTATCTGACACAACCAACTGTCCAAGATCTTCATCAGATGCTCTATTTTGAACTCCACAGCTGTTCAGTTTTCTATGCGACGTCAAAGGTTCCAATCCCACTCCAGCTGGCTACTGTGTCATCAACCTTCACAATAGCTTACTGCTGGGACTAAGTTCGAACAACAACAATAATAATAATAATAACAGAAGACATGTCGGTCCATTATGCAGTCGATCTAGAAATTAAGTAGTTGACCAATATCCTTAGTATAAACAGGTGTTTAACTATAGTCAATCACCTAACTGGAGCTTAGATCTCAAGTAGTAAAGAGGAAACGTGCAATATACAGGACTAAAAGTGGCCGATCAGCCACACGTGGATTCTGAATTAATTTCCCGACCGATTCATTCATAAACCTCACATAACCCGGAAATAAAAGACTGGAAGTGAGGCTAACAACTAAATCCGTGTCGCAGAGAGAAACATTTCTACCGCAAGTAAAACTTCAAACCGAAAGCTTGAAGTCTTATATTTCACTTAGAATGCAAATGAATTGAAGAAAATGAAATATTTAGCCATTGCAATGAGTCTTGAGTACAAGAATGCCTGTCACTTCACTATAGATGAAATAGATAGAGTAGATAATGGGAACGCCAATAAATAGAGTTCAAAATTCTATTAAAATTAACAATTCACAATCATAATTAAGTATCAATGCTACTGACAAAGAGTAATTTGACTAGATCACTTATCACTCTATGTATCAATCCAGTATAAAAATAACTTAGTCAGAATACTGTTCAATACAGCAAGAAACAATTTGTTCTGACAGTACTATTGAACATGAAATAAAAGCTGTGAAGGATATTTTATTTAAGAATGGATATCCTGAGAAGTTCATTAATAAATACTCTAAAGAAATTAGCCCCTGCAAAACAATTCAAACAGTTCCGAAGAAACCTGTCTATATCAGTTTGCCGTTCAAAGGAGATGATTTTCAAGAAGTAGTCAAACGAAGACTCGACAAAGCCACCAAAAGAACTTATTATGCTGCAAAACTTGTTTTCCTCAACACCACCAAGCGAGTGCTTCAACAATTTGGGAAATATCAGCCGCCATTCCTCGACACTTCAAACTGCATATATCAATTTGAGTGTGTTTGTGGAAGCAAATACATAGGTCGTACGGAAAGGCGATTGTCTACTCGCATGATAGAGCATTTGCCAAAATGGTTGAAAACAATTGAGTTCAAAGTGCCAAAATCCTCAATAATAAAACATCTTGTGGATTACGGACATGATATCGGCACTGTCAAGTCATTCACTATTGCCAGCAGACAAAGAACCAAGAAGATGCTTGCAATTGCAGAGGCTTGTGCAAGTCGAGTTTATAAACCAGGTCTCTGTGTACAAAAGGAGATGGTCGTGACTCTTAATCTACCATGGTAATACGTTTTACTTATTATTCTACCTGTTATCACTATTATTCTTGATTCATTTAAAACTATCCTTTATCAGTAGGATTATCTTAAGTCACTTCAACACTATTATTATGACTATTACTATTGATATTACTCTGTTTGCAATTTTTGTTATGTTCTATAATGACTAACTGTTTATCTAAGTGATGTAATTGAACCGCAATGCAATTTATCTTAGTTTTGACCTCTCATACTCTCTCTCCCCTTATCTATTTGAACATGATCTGGAAAACATCCGCACCTGTCTTTCTGCATGACTAATTCAATGTAGTTTGTTTACTTATCAGTCTTATATCTCCCAGTGTAATTTCAAAAGTATATGTATATCCATGTATGTAGAGAATTCAGCTGAAGAGTAGTTCTACCAAAATTCAATGAATTCATCAAATCCTGCTTTATTAACCTTTATTGCTTGTTATAAATTCGTATCGGGAAATAAATGTTTTCAATAATCTAAGACATTTAACATTCGACTGATTTAGTTTCAACTTCAGTGTCTTATGCGATGCAAGAATCATGGAATAGTTGTGCTCTCCAAGCTCCAGATTAGAGAACATTTTTTAATATTCCTTAACATTCCTAGTGGGACTTCAAGCTAGAAGCCTGAAGTTTCGGTAGCAGTGGTGTTTGTTTATTTTTACGGGATGGGATTGCTGCTAGCCTCATGCTCTCTCCACCTTCCCTCTTTACCGGTCTTATTAATGACTTAGCGAGGTAAAGAAGTGTGTCAGTGGCCAGGGAACAAATCCCGGACCACATGGATTCTACCTCTGTGCCATCCATGCACCGATTAGAGAACATACTTATCTCAAAATCATTCACCTAAGCTACTAATATTCTCCATTATATCTACAAGAATCATGGAAAAGAGTTAGTTAACGTACCTCATGTGTGTGTTTGAAAGTGAAATCAACAATCTAACACTTGAAGCGATTCAAGCTTAAGACGTATTCAACAAAGATCACTGATTAATTTCTGATAAAAATAGATTTATTTTGGAATAATCTGATTGAGAAGTAACCGGGAATGAAAACAGACAAATCACTGGCATAATTAACAAACTTGGCTTCACTATCGGAATGAGGCAAGTTATTTAGGGGACTGTCTAGCGAGCTCAATCACAGAACAAGTATGTGAGTGAAAATCCAAGTTAGTGAGGTGAAAGTGTAACAGTGTATTATAAAAAATACACTAATGAGATTTACTGATTAAATGGTTACTTGGATATACAGCCAAAAGTCTACGGCTACAAATTATTATTATAATCTACAGAAGCGTTCACTGCTGGGGTCGTGTTTACTGGTAGAAGCTGTGTACCGGTTGCTGAATTGTCTTCGGAAGAGGATAAGAGGTCCTTGCAAAGTATACAACACGGTTATGAGTGAAGCGAGTAGACAGTATAGACCAGTGAGAAGACGAAAGGGCTAGCAGTATACTGTATTTCAGATTGTACTCGGAAGTTATCTATAATCCAACATGATTCGTTTTAAACAAGTCATGTACAATGTCTCTAATTTCAACAACTAACAAAAAAGTGTACAATCGTATTGTTACGTACTCCACAAGTTGACATGTAAGAAGAAAGAAGACAGAGAGGAGAAGAAAGAACAACTTCCTGAAGACACTGGCAACAGCAGGAGAATTCCTTTTAGATACAGTATACTGCTTCTTATCAACAACGAAAATATTGAATACAATTATTTGTCAATCCAGCAGCCTATTTGTGTCACAGCAAACTTGTGTCCTGATGACATTTCCCTCAAACTAGTTTCTTTTCTTTTTTTATTCCTTTAAGTTCCTTCAATGGAATATGGGTCTTCAGGCTAGAGGCTTGAAGTTTCGATAGCAGTGGTGTTTGCTTATTTTCACGGGATGAGGTTACTAGCCTTATGCCTTCCCTCTTTATCAGCCTTATTGCTGTCTTAGAGAGGTAAAGGAGTACTCAAGCCGGGAGATCGAACCCCGGACCACATGCATGGTTGGTGAGCATTCTACCGTTGTACCACCGACGCACTTTTTCTTTTGATGCATACAGATATCATGTTTTGACGACCTATTACCCAACAAATATAAAGAAGGGAAATGAAGATGAATTGGAAATATACACTATGAGTAAATAAACTGTTGAGTGAAACTACCCGGTGTAGGTATAGCCTCTAGTGGAACCCGAATGCGGAACAAAGAGTATGAGTATGGATTCAAGGGTAATATACAAGAGATGGGGTGATAAGATGACAGTCAATCTCACTCTGTTCTTAACAGAGTGAGATGTAGAAGTGCTTACCAGTGATGCCATATGGCTCCACTTGGAACCCCAATAGAATAAAAATGATAAATGTAGTGATAACATCCACTGATATGTGAATTCTCTCTCTCTCTTTATAGTGACCTACTCATCGGTAGATGATAAGTGAAATGTATCTTAAGTACTGTTTTTTGAGTCTTGAAACTTTTTGATGTTGACCCAATAGACGAATGTTTCTCTCTCTATATCTATCTATCTATCTATCTATCTATCCGTACGTGTGTATATATCTATACAAAAGGTATTTAGGTAGGTAGGGTGAGAGAGAGAGAGACAAAGACGTAGAGGACAGTGAAGTGAAGTATGTTTATTCAGCTTGACATGTCAAATGTTTACGAGCATTTAGTATCCGCTTATAAGAAGTACAGACAATTATGCGTCATTCGTACGTATAGCATTCTTCAATCTACGGTGTCATCCAGGTTGTTATTATTTTGGTGTGTATACACAGTCTTTGATACATATGAATATAAACACAGCATATTGGCATACCTACCACACGGTTAGTGATTATAGAAGTGAAAATAATAATAGTAATATTAATGTGTCATATAATACTTTGAAATGTATTATAACTACTGTCATAATGAAACTATAATAAAGAACAACATATTTTGCAGAATAATTAAATGGTACCATCATTGCTAATTTCCTCCGCTTCTCATCAGCTGCTTACAGGCCAGAGTCATTATTAAGTATATCTACAGAAACAATCTTAACATACTTGCACTGAGACTTCATTTTTAAACAAAATCAATCAGTCAATATATGCACAGAGTAATATATATATAACGTAATCAGATGAAAGACAGGTGAAAATAACCAATTACCAGGGCAAAGAAAGACTGACAACTGCTTCTTTCTGAAAACCCACATAAATTCGGTTCCAGGCGCTTGGTGGAGATGGCTTCAGCAAACTTGAGGAGAATTGAACTTTTTTGCCTATTGATAATTTTGAATGATCTTGCGACATCCACTTCATGACCCGTGTCAAGGAGATGTTCCCTTTAGACGTAGGCTTTTTGGTACATGTTCAGAAAATTGTAGATATGCCTTTCTTCTTTCTGTTCTTCCAATTTAACTGCTTCCGCAGATACATATAAATTCGTATATACAGTTAAAGTTAACACGAGAAGGACGTCTATCGATTTTTGATTGTACCAAAGAGCAAGTTGTTCGATAGACGGGAACGAGCTTGGCTTCAGGATAGACTGTGGCTAGTGACATACTCAGTCTTTTGTTGATCATTGCTGCAATGTTTTCACCTTCATAATCAAGTTGAATGTAGATGGGCTTTTTCTCCACTGTCAAAATGTCAAACAAATCATCTGATTACGTAATGTCGAAAGTTTCCATTGTGTATGATTATTACTGTTCGGAATGCTGTTTAATGTTATGATATATATATATATATATATATATATATATATATATTACTTTTACTTTACTTCGGCTATCTCCTACGGGAGGATGAGCCGGCTTCATGAACATCTCCAATCATCGCTACCCAGGCGCGGCGATCTGATGCAAAAGAGTTCATGAAGTTTCATGGGAATTAGGTACGAGTGATGTCCCCAGAATCGCTCGGCCTTTTGTTTGAGAATGCAGCTCTAGCCTTTACACAACCAAGTGTGACCTACAAGACAGTAGGAGTGGAGTAAGGAGTCCACTATCCATTGGCAGCCGGTGACCGGAGTTCGGTTCATACGCCTTTTTGAATGGGGCCAGACATCCAGGACATCCAACAAGCCCTTTGTCCATACGTCTGCCGGTGAGCTCCAGTGAGCTTCATACGCCAGTCGTTGGAGGTTCGGAATCAGGGTTTAGCCATCTCCCCTAGACTGTCATCCAATGGACAGTCAACCCGGTGAAGAGCGCCGGGCATCCGCTTTTGCCCTCTCACTTCAGTGAAAAACACCTCCGCCACGTGAAGGCAGTGAGTAGGACTTCCTCAGGATAGGCTATGTAAGACGCCCGGTCATATGGGAGCATTTCAAGAGGTGTACGCAGGGGTGGCCAACCCGCAGCGCAAGGCACCCACCCCCAACCATCCTGAGGCTTTGGAGGCATATATATATATATATATATATATATATATATATATATATATATATATATATATATATATATATATATATAACTCTATGCATATATTGATTGATTGATTGATTTTGTTTAAAAATGAAGTCTCGGTGCAAGCAATGATGGTACCATTTAATTATTCTGCAAAATATGTTGTTCTTACTTTATTCAAATTCATTGAAGGGGAATGAATGTATGAAATTATGATGCTGTACCATTGAACGTATACTAATCTCCAGTCTAAATGTACTTATTTGACTTAGACAACAAAACAACTAGGATGCGAAATATTAGAATGATAACACTTGGAACATCATAAAACAAAAAATCAACTTTTCCTTTCAGGAAACAACAACATAATATACTTTATTGGGGGGCATTATGCTTCTAAGATTACTGAAGTTGATATGCCTCCGGTTCTCTGACAACTTTGTTTCTGCATTACATTATTCTGACTGACACGAATGATTCACTATTTGATGTTAACTAATAGTTTGATTCAAATTTCAACACATCAAACCCTTTGAAATCGTCAAACCGTTAATTTTACTTTCAGTTGTGAACAAGACTTGAGGAGACTGCGTGATTCAATCTCATGATTCTTGTAATATATCGACGGTGGGAAACCAATTTCTCTTCCATTCCAAGAAATTGTTTCGTTTGACTTATTACATAAGAGAGTTGGCACTTTCTGACATAACTCAACCCCTTCTGATACAATTTATTGACTGATGCATTCTACTCACTCCTCTTTATCGTTCCCCCTCCCTCCCCTTATTCTCCCTTTGGTTTCTAAAACGGACTGTGTTATGTAGGGTGGGACTTTGAAGGCTGTCAGTGGGGGTTATTGGTGTGAGTGTGTCGTTGACCCAACTAACTGACACTACTGTTGAAAGACATTTTAATTCTTGAAAGCAGTTAGCTAAATTCGTCTTATTTAATGTTGAACATCCTCTTCATTCGTAGTTTTCTCCTTTTACCTCTTCATGTCAGACCAGGAGATATTTCATGAGGATTTATGCTTGTACGGTTAGGATTCCTGGCTTTCACCTAGGCGGCCCGGGTTCGACTCCCGGCGTGGAAGCACTTTGTCCACCGGTGGCACAGTGGTTAGGACTCTCGCCGACCATGAACATGGTCCGTGGTTCGATCCCCTGCCGACACGACACACACCTGATATCTATGGTCGGCCTGTAAAATTTGGGCTACCGATATCCATGCTGAGAATTCCATACTTGTACCAAAAATACAGTGTGGAATCAAGCTGTAATCAAAAATAAATAAATAAATAAAAAATAAATACATAAATCCAACCATACCATGTGTTCAGCAGGGGTGTTGTATAAAGAGATAAATGATAAGAAAAAGCTTGTAAACCTACTTCCTAATTTGTAATAGACAATTACTTATTTCCATCTCTGTTATTACCACTAAAATATCCTCTTTCTAACTAACTTCAGTACTTGTCGTTTTATTGTTTCTACTATTCTATTTCTTGGTATTAGATGGTTGGAGGCAATCAGCCACAGGAAGGAAGCCTTGCTTGACCTAATTTTCGTGCTAGCTGGCACTCACTAGTCAGTCAGCAAGGCGGTGTATCTGAAACCTCGATGGAACTCATGTCACTTCTGCGATTCGAACCCGCGTCATCCAGGGCTGCCTGAAGTCAGAGACGTTACCACTGAGCTATTCGGGCTCGCGATCGACCTCCTGTAGGACTGTATTGCATATTTTTGTTTGATTGGACACTAGTCAGTTACTAGTGTAGTGTGTCTAATCTTATCAGTTAAGTTTGCAATGTGGCCAGCATGCCACTAGGTGGCTTGCCATCACAATGCACTGTGAATAAAATTGTTAAAATTAGATGGTTGGAAGCAATCAGCAGGAAGCCCTGCTGATACCTAGGTTTCGTGGTAACTGGATATAAATTGTCGCAATATATGGAATGCTGAAAATTGCATTCTGTGAACAAGATTATTTTAAGGAATAAACTGGTGATTACTTATTATTTCATGGTCAGTTTACTGATGTTCGAATCTAATTGATAAACACTAAATATGAGTTATGGGAAGCGACGAGTGGGTCGTCAATGTTAGGGTGACATGGAGGAGATCGTGTGAGGAAGGGATGAAAGAGTTTGATCAATCGTGGACCCAGCTAAAGAGGACGGCAGAAAATAAAACAAGATGGAGATGTGTTGTTGAAGCCCTATGTTCCACTCGGAACGCAAGGAAATAATAACATCAAATTTGAGGTAACATAACGCTAACTCATCCCACTGAACATTTGAATAACACAATACGATAACTGTTTAAAAGTTGATATTTATGCACTCAGAATACAAAAAGATTGAGTAAACAAAATACACTTTTCAATAAAATTTTCATCACTTTCTACAATTATTCCATATGCATAAACTACCTATTTCCTCTTCCTCCTGTATGTGTATCTATCAGTTTGACTGCTTCCGCGAAGTTACGTATAGTGAGCATACAATCAGACATGTTCGCCACCAGTTATCTGAACAGCAACCTGCATGGTTAAAGTAGAGCCAAGTAGTGTTCAATCATAGCTACTTTTTAGCTCAGCGTGTAGATTAATGAACATTAAATTGATGTTAATAAGGCATTTAAAGTTATCTGTTGTAAGTTGACTAATCTTAATTCATTATATCCTACCGAATCTTTCAAATAGACTTCGTATTCGTCTACTTCACATAGCTGAGGCGAAAGGCACTGTTATGTACTCGTCGCTAAATTGTTATTATGGACTGGTCGAGAATTTAATAGTCCTGACGCAAGAAGGCGGAAATCAGAAGACCACTAGGTTTGCGATGATACTTCTATTTTCCAAAACACAAGGAGAAGCAAAAGTGGTATCACACCAAAGTGGTAAGTCAGTCACACAAATTGTGAATGCGAAATATATATATGACAAGCGTGTGAACAATCATTAGACAGTCTTAACATGAATGGCTAATTATAATGAAGTATCGATCCATATATACATAGCGAAATATAGCAGACATGTCAACAACCAAACATATAATATGGATATATGTCACCAAGCAACGGACTATCAACAAACACTCATATTATATATAAGGGGAATATACATTGTTAAAGGAGACAGGTTCATCAAAGTGAAATGGTCACAGACTAAGAGAGCAAACAGAAAGAGAGATCACCATATATATATATATATATATATATATATATATATATATATATATATATATATTGATACATATCAGGCACTCAAACCATTAAACCTGAACTATGCATTCAAAAGTCCATACAGCCATACCAACTGACGACTTCTCCACCACCCCTTACTTATATTTTCAACCCCTCTCTTATCATCCCTGAATCTTAATTTTACCTCACGAGTTCGTCTTTTACATGTAGTGGAAGCCATCAAAATCCACAGTGAGGAAGCCAAACTTAAATGTTCAGAGGAAACTTGTATAGTCGGCTTCCTCACATTGAATATAATGGTCTGATATATTTCACTTTTCTTTCAGGCCTTATACAAGTTATTATTGCTTTAATTGTCTTTAATTATTACATGCTTTTTATCAGTTACAAATGTTTCGATGGCACAGCTCACCAACCAAGCATATAGTCTGGGGTTTGACCCCCGGCTGACGTACTCCTTTACCTCGCTACGCCAGTAATAAGACTGGTAAAGGGGGAAGATTGTGGGGCATGAGGCCAGCAACCGCATCCCGTAAAAATAAACACCACTGCTACCGAAACTTCAAAGTAACAGCTTGAAGCCCTATTGTCCACTGGGAATGTTAAGGAACATAAAAACCCATTTACAAATGTCTTTGAACTGTAATTTTGTTCATTCAGCCAACTAGATATTATTTAAACAAAAGCATTCATGTTGTCAACACCAATTATTCTTTAAATATATTGTGTGTATATAACTGTAGAGCAAGATGATGAAGAAGTTATCGAAAAGACTATTCTTTGTTCAATTTTCTCCTTTTTGTCTTCTACATGTTCAAATGGGGGATTTTTGCTATACTTCAACATTCGCTGATGATGTGGCTATGTGGAATGAAGATTTTGATCGTGGTTGGATTCACAGTAGCGACTTCTAGATTAATAGTTTTCAGTTGAGTTGTAAGTAACGACATCCAACCGTTAACCGGACCTCCATTTTGATTACCGTGATGAGGAGTAGTGCTCAGATATCACGTGAATGAATTATCTGTTCATTAACATACTTTCAGCTCAGCTAGATATTCAATACTGTTAAATGCTCAACTTTTTGTTATTGTTAGATGGTTGAAATCTGGCGGTAGGAAACCTTGGACCTAGACTTCAAGCTTGTTGGCGATCAACAGTCAGTAAGGCATATATACAACCTTGAAGGAACTTATGTCCCGTCTGAGACCCGAGCCCAGGTCACCCAGTACGACAATCAGAGAACTTACCACTTCATGTAGCACTATTATGCATAGTTCGATTCGAAACTAGGTAGGAACTAGTTTCATGCGTCTATTCTATCGTTTATTGCAGACGGTGCACTCCGACAATCTAAGAACAATTCAAAATGAACTGTGACGGTGAACGCCATGACTACGAGGGTTTTTTCCGACTTTTCTCGACACCACGAAATCAGTAAAGAATCAACTTAAAAGTCACGACCTCCTACGATTACACTAAAATGTCTAACATGGGTATACTGATTCAAGTTACGCGGGTTGTTTTACTAGTCTAAGATACTAAACAGATTGTCAACTAACGAGGTTCGTGTTTGAAGCTCATCATACCTATACAATTTTGGTATTATCTATCCTTACACAATATGCATTCAGATCCAGAGCTGAATCACTCTAAATAATCATGTCCAAATGAGTCATCCATCCATTTTTGAAGTTTTGGTAGGGGGAATTGTTTTTAACGGGATGGGGTTGCGCTAGCCTCAAGCCCAACTCTCCCTCTATTCCTGGCTTACTATTGTTAGCTAGCTAGTTAAACTAGACGACGGTTTAAAAGTATACATTGGCAAGGAATGGAATTGAGAACATCTCACAAGTCATGTGATAGTTCTACCACTGACAAATCAGCATACTTAACTTCATATATATAAGGAGTAAATAAGACATTTTACAAAGCAAGATATTTATTTCCTCTTAAAAAGAGTTGAATCAATCATTAACAACAACAATGATAATATTGAATGACACAATTGTCACGCAAAAATATTCACCAGTGAGTGTTCAAAATAATTATACAAAAAGTTCAAAAGATGGAGGCAGTACCAGACAAGTTATGTCTGAGTGTGTATATCTCTCTCACGAAAAATAGCAGGCGGCACTTATAATCGTTTGTATTTTCGAATAGCGGTAACATCACCTACGGTAACTGTCTATAAGAAATAAATGAAGGCGAGGAATTCATCAATAAGAAATTATCATTCACTTACCGTATTCATCATGTCACCTTCTACTTCACGTATAATTGTCGTTGTATTCTTAGGATCCACTTGGACTTGAGTTAGCTTTGACTCGGAGTTTTTGGTAACAGTTGACTGAAAAGATAAAAAAGAGGATTTGAAAGCAATAAATAACTTGGCCTTAACAATTTTACTAATTGTCATGGATACCAAACACTGAAGATAGGGATGCACTTCGTATAAGGGACTCAGAACGATTGAGTGTTCGTTAACTCTAAAGAAGCATTCAACATTGATAAGGTTAGCCATAATGAATCTTATTAACACTAGAAAAGGCGATTTAGCCGTTCTTTAAACCCAATCTTCAGCATGATTTCTGTTTGGTCTAAAAGATAACTAAGTGACCGCCGATATCGAACTATTCTTTATCTGTAATGACATTCGTAAATGTCCATAATGCTTGTGGGTTAGCACTGAGAGTACGGAGTTTTACGCAAACATCATAGCCTGTGGACTGAGTATCGCAGTTATAAAGCTTAGTATCAAGACCAATATCCTAAGTTCGTGAGGATACTAAAAGAAGGATGACTCTAAGGAAATTCGTTTGCTCGATTTCACCGAAGGGATTCTAACTAGCTAAATTCAGGTAAAACCTGTTATAAGAATGGGATGTCCATTTTGCAAGTGATATCACTCGAAGTCTATTCACTTACTTTGACATTTCTACCATCACTGGTTTTCTCGTCAAATTCTTCACCAAATTTGAAAGTACAGGTAGTATTTTTAAATGTTGACTCAGTCAACATCGTCATTTTATCCCCATCCATACTAAAGGTCACAGTTGGTGTTAAGGTATTCCCAATCTGTCGTGTGGCCCAGGATACACCTATAATGAAAAGAAAGGAATAGTTAAAACACAAGAATTAAAAAACATTTCTAAAAAATCTCACAAGAATGAAAGAAATAACTGTTGAGTTTTTCAAACGCTATTTGCTGTCAATAAATTTTGGTGCTGTGTAGGTGTTACATAGATGAAAGCAGCCTGGTTTCCAAATGGATTCAATCACAACAAATGTCAACTTAAAAATACTGCTTCAATTGCATAGATTAATTGAGAGTGCTGAAAATCTTGCGATCTAAACTGGTATCACAACAACGATATGATTCTAACAGTTGCCTTGGCATATACACTGTTTCTAGGAAAAACAGGTTTCGGACCCTTCGAGATGGTATAACATTAACTTTGTGGAACAAGTGGCGGTGAGAAACACGATTCTGTCCAGATATCCACGGACGATTACCAACTGTGTATAATGTGATATCTCCATCAACAGAAAATTTAGAAAAGGGTTGAATATTTAAAATATACTTAGGAGTAGCTGGAAGGTGTATTACTTACCTAGTTTCGACATTACAGCATCAAAGTTGTGAGACTCGCTGAGTTTCCATTTTCCCAAAAAGGAGGACATTGTTTATGAATTTTCCAGATGATACGAATTGAATAGTTCGAATAGGTTAACCCCGAGGAGGAATGCGATCTGGAATGAATTTTTTAAAAATGTCATTTTATTCCAATCAGTAATCGCATATACACATATCGTCAGACCGATTCCTGAATTTCAACAAAATTATATGTAATTTATGATTACAAAGTATTAGGCGTACGCCTAATACTTTGTAACCTAAACCTTAGCAAGTCTTGAAAGATATTCTGTAGCGTTTTTCAACAGCATTGTTTCATGAGCATTATGACGAGAGGTCCTATACGAAATATTTTGTCATATGTATTGATAAATGCGAACTGCAGTAATCAAACATCCAAATTTACTCTGCATAAATCGAGGAATGAGTCTTCGCAGAGGTCTGATACGACTTCAGAAGGCGGAGCAGTCAAATAATTTAATATGAAATGTGCTATGAAATACATATATTCGACAACTATGCGGGGGGATTATTACATATACTATATAAAACTAAGAGTAACCAGGAAAGTGCACTGACAACAACCATTAGCAGCAAAGCCCGAAAGACCACACATACAACGTACCTCTAAGCTACACTTCAGGAAACTGGCTGGTTACAACACAAATGGGTATTATATGATCGTGGTTGTTAACCTTCAAAGTCACCTACTTAAACAAGTGGCCACCTGAAGTGAAGGCAAGTCTCTTTTAAAGCCATAGTATAGTCACACTGTGGCTGTTTGTGACAGAAACTGAATATGTATAACATATTTTAAGTACACAAGCGATAATCATGGCCATTTGATTAGTCATAAGCAAAATGTCACAATAATGTTGGTCGTAGATGTGTACCAACATCATACAACTAGTGACAGATTTGTGTCTGTAGAAACCTAATATCTATTCTTAAACCAATTAAAGATGATTTTTGCGTGGTATTGTTGTTAATGTCATAAAATTTGAGAAAATGTTAGTGGGAACTATGGAACTATGAAATAAAAGTTTACGTTCTTCTTTTCACTGTTGTACTAAAACTGGGGCCAATAACCTGTATTAGCCTCCATAAATGAAGTTTCTTGAACTTCTGTTTGTCCTTAGAATGGGGATGGTGCCATCACTGCAATCGACGGTCATCATCTTGTAAACGACAGTTAAAAGAAGTCATCAATTCTCATGACAGTTGTAAAATTGACGACAATGATATAGGAATCAAATCAGAAGTTAAGTATCTTGGACTCATTCTCTCTTCTGATCTCTCCTGGTCTTCCCATGTCTTAGCAATCTCCAGTAAAATATTCCGCCTGACATTTTACATCATGAAGTTAAGACACTCGGGTATAACTCAACTCCTCCTCTTACAGTTCACAAACTCTTGCATCCTACCTATTCTTCTTTATTGCTCACCCTTATTCTTTCCTGGTTTGCTTAAAAAGGACTATGTCACAACTCGCAGAATACTGAAGACTGTCAGTAGGGTGAGTGGTGTCCCAGTGGACCACATAGTTAACGTCGTTGTCGATAGACACTTGACTTCGTGCAATAAATTTGCTAAAGGGATTTTGTCTGACTTGGAGCATCCGCTTTACCCTCAGCTTTCACCTTGCATCTCCTCAGGTAGAACAAGGAGTAACTTCAGAAAACTGTATGTTCGCACGTCTAAGTATAAGAATTCTATGATACCATACTTGGCACGTATTTTATGTGGTGAAAATAGTGTCAGGCAAGAATTAACTAACCTTTTTTCATCTAGTAAATAAACAATTTCCTCCATCCATCCTCATATACCTTCAAGTTTTACTTTTATTACTTCTATTATATTTATGGTCCTGTTACTTCTCTGTTTTACTCTCAGAATTGCAAACACCAACTTATCTCCATGACGGCTGTAATCTTTGTTTTTCCCTTCACCATATCATGTAAAGAGAACATTATATTCAATATTTTTAAACATGTCAGGATTTCTATACCACATTGCCAATACTGTGTGACACAAGCCAACGGCAATTTTCACTTGTATTCTCATTATTATTACCCTAGCTGTTATCATTATTATTGCTATTTCCATTTTATATGCTGCATGTTTTTGACACTACCTCTATTGTAAATGTGGAAAATTTTCTGTGATTAATTTTATTTATAATTTGAGGAAATTAGATGCAATATTGTGATTAATGCTGAAAATTCCATTCTGTATCACAAGTACCGTTTATGGAATAAAGTAAATCATTATTATTATTGTAGTGCTCATTCAGCTCTTGAACTTTTGTTTGAATTGACTCACCTACTCGTTTGGCACTTCTACATCTTTTGAGTTTTAACCCTGCTCGACACATGTGGTTCGCTCTCCTGTTGCATTTTCATTCATAAACTCCTTATTTATCAAGTTTCATATCTCATTTGTATAAGAATATAACTCTGTCCAGACCCATTTATCATAACAAGCCTTTTTACTCTGATTTCGTTCGTCAATACTTACGCGTTAGGTAGAGTACCACTAAGGACGTAAAACGGTGAAGTTTTTGTAAGTGTTCATTATTGAGATCTACATTAAGTCAGTACTACTCCTACAATCTCATTAGACTGCCGTAATCAAGTTACACCAAAAGGTGGGAAAAAAGTATAACAATTGTCCATCATCTTACATGAGCCCGCTTCAAAACGGTTGGTAGTTTAAAACTTAGTAACATGTTGTGAAAATAGTGATTAGGTTTGCAAATGTCGGGGTGAAAGTAAATTTTCGATGTGACATAACTAAGTTTTGGTAATCTAATAATTAGTGGTACTAATCGTAGCAGGAGGTGGTGTTTACGAGCGACAATATGTTTACTATTGTCTTGGGCATTTGCAACTGCCACCTTACTAAAGAAGTCGGTTTCATTATAAAGCCGTGTAACTTTGAAAATTTTACAAAACAGAGGTTGATATGAGGATTAATGAACGTCGCGCTAGCCCTTACCTCACATCTCCTAACTAACGCTTTCAAAATTTCTTCCTTTACAATGCCAGGCTCCGAACAATATGTTTTATTTCGCTTACTTCAGAAGTGTAACTGTTGGGAATATACATATACCTACATACAGCGCGATTGGCAGATAACACAGAGAGGTTATCCAGCGTGCTGTATGTGTAGAGAATCGGAATTAAACTACTGAAAAACTGATCTTGAATGGAGATGATTACATGTAAAGACATGTTGAAGCTACAATTATTTGGCCTGACTTAAGATGTGCATAACACCGACAAAGTTATTAGGAGTAAATATTAAACTTATACCTATGAAAAACGCATTTAGGCAGGTGAGATAATGACAAATCGCAGAAGTATATAATTATGGTACAATTATAACACCACTTATTTCCCTTCAGAAACCGTAACTTGTTGGCAATGTTCTTCTATAACGCCGGCTGTTGAAATAGATAAAGCGAAGAAGGGAAATGATTCATTCCAAGTCTCAAATTCACGTATCACTTGATGCCCTACAAGTTAATGTTTAAGGAATACTGATGTGGTTTCTCTACAAACCGCACTTATCATTTGTTTGTATTAATATACCAATCGCCATCATTGAGAGAAATTTGAAGAAAGTCACTTTCACTTATTTCACAGGTATCATTTCAGCTAAAACCAGCCCGAGTGAAGGTAACAAAAACGGCATGAATTCTGGAAGCACTGCAATCAGACGCTGTTCGCTCACTGTGGAAATCCACAGTACTTAGCACATAGAACAAGATCCTAATTATATTGAGCCCTTACGTCAAGTGAGTGACTCATATAGAGCGCTCTTCATTGCGAGTATTTCAAAGAGGTTGCTGCAGACGTTCATCAACAAACACCTCCGCTGGGAACTGTAGACCAGATGACCGTCCAGGAAAGTTAATCAGCAGGGAACCGTTGCTGACAGCACGCCAACCAGAAGCATTCTGCTTAACATCTACGAAAAAGAAGCACATATAGATTGGATATACTCTGAGAGGACCGTTGAGTGACACCAACATTTTAGTTCGTTGGCTGTTGACGCAGAGGATTCTTCCTTCAAAGTATGCCTTGTGTTTTACTGGAAAAAGTCACACTTACTGGACAACTTTCAACCTAGTGCAGCTTGTCAGGATGTGTTTACATCACTAAGTTGGTGAAATTTTGCGCGTGAAGAATTCGTAAATAAGTACATATACATGATGAATTTCCGTCTAGTCAATTCTTTTTCATATCCACAGGCCAGTCTTTGACTTCCGCCATTTTTGTGGCTTAGTAATGCAGAAGAGACTTAGGACAGATATTCTTGGTCGGTATTGACTTGAAGGGCAAGACTGTGTTCGGTGTCCTTTGTAAATACTCCTTAGTCTAATCATCCACTCACAACCACTAACATATATAAACGCTTTCGATACCTGGCATAAGGTTTTGGCCACAAATCGGAATTTCTTCCGTCGTGATTCAGGGCTGCATCTTCAAATGAGGATTGATTCTCCTTTGGATTGAATAATAATTGATCAATCACAAGAGCGAGAAGCCGCACCAGTTCAAACAGATTTATTGTAGCCAGATATCTATTGAGCGACTCCGGGATTAATTTTATTGACTCTATAACCAGCAAACCTACCGGAAAGCTGTCTCCACATTAAGGTCCTGAAATGCGCACCTAAAATATCTCTCCATAATCTGCTGCTAATTAATGAAATGGTTTTGTAACTTCTTTAGTTGGTCTGTCAAAAGTAAGCCTGTGATCGCCTCACTAATTCAGTGGGTCTTTTCGCTGAGGGAGGACAAAAGATCTGCTTTCGTGAGACCCTCATAAGATATTAGAATAAGAATCTCACCCTCAGGGCTTCTCACATGTTTTTAGGAACCACGTTTCCTCACAGCTGTAGGGACGATATGAAACTAAGTCAGTAGTGTGATTCTTGGATGATGATTCCTACAGACTTTCGATTTTGTTTTCTTTAGACGAATCTTGACTCAGTCAGTATGTTAACTTTAACATTGAACTGTCAAATACTAAACTTTTACTGAGTTAAGTACTTGCCACTTTGATGTAAATTAGTCAGTTTTGTGGTTTGCCTCGAACTATTGCATTCTTTTACCTTAAAGTACATTTTTGTTAACCACGAGTCATTTTGTTCATCCGTTCGAGGCAGGGCAACCTCAAAACCGAAGGTTTTCATAATTTTAAAAAAAGAGGCATTCTCTTCAACGTTCTGGTTTTATTACAAGTCAATTTGAGGTGATTATGGTTTTGGTCTGGTTACTTGGCTGTGGTCTGTTACTTCGCATCTCCGTTAAAAGTTATGCGCGTGGTGGCTATAGCTGAGCGGTTGTCAGCCACGTCTCGTAAACCGTCAATGCTCAGCTCTTGCTACGCTCGGGCTCACGCTGTTCCTTGAAGTTTCTCTGAGACGCTTAGTAATAACGGGCGAAAAAGCCAAAACACCAATTGGCGACTCGAGGATTCTTTATTGTAACTCCAACATATAAACAATGTTACAACTAAGGTCTGTGAACAAATATTACAATAATGAATCACAATATTACTTCTGACAGTTTTGGCCTGACTTCTTTCTGAACAGCGACCGACGAGACGATGACTGGTGTATTGATGCCTCCGCGAAAATTGGGGAAGTTGGTTTTGAGAAAACAACCATGAATTGATCGTTCAATCTTCAACTACATCGACACTCCCCGGCAAAATACGGATCCATCCCTTTTTTCCATCACGACCAATACACGTTGACTTGGATGCCATTGCGAGAACCTGGGTCACATGGACAGAGCTGAAATGGAAAACAAACAGAAAAGCCAACACACCACAAGCATACTCACAGCACAATCTCACACATCAATGACAACCTGCGCCTTCCAGTTAAAGGCATCCTATTAACACCTTGCAACACAATCGCCACTTGCTAGAATGACTCTTGCAGAATGCAACGTGACCATAGCAGCACCTCACGATACTCTACGCACATCTTCTTACCTACTAACTACCAATTACCACTGCAATCGCTTGTCACTCATTCTGCCTCAGTTCTAGTAACGGTGGCGTATGCGAGCCTCAGTCGTCTACACTCTTTCTCCCCGGCGTGTGGGACCGCAGCTAACAATTATCCCCGTATGCATTTCATTCTCAGCAATAGCCTCCCCGGCGTATACGACCCATCTGCTGTCTCTAACATCAATCAATTCATTCATGAACGTAGAAGACTGAAAACAACTTCAGAAGTAATCACGACGAAAATTTTAACAAAATTACGCAATAACAACAAGGTACGAAAACAACGAGTAAACACAATTAATCAAAAATCAAAAATTGAGATCACACACCACACGTATACACAAACAGTACACACAAACTCGCGGATCATGTCTTGGTGGAATTCCTTTGAAGAATTGCAGGACTTACACCAGTACGCCTACAACCCTTCACAGGTTGACGATTGTAAGTTGTGGAATGTCCGGACACAAACAAGATTAACCAACAATTACAATAATTGGAACTCACACAATTATTTAACACAAACATATGTACAATCAACACATCAAATGTGGTGGATTCTGCCTTGACGAACTACCCTTGAAGAACTGTAGGACTTACAGCAGTACGCCTACAACCCTTCTCAGGTTGACGCCCTAGGTTGGAAAATCATCGCAGAGTTCATTTGCTGACTTCCTTCTATCAGCTATATCCTCAAATCTGAACGGTAACACGCCCATGTCATTGTATCGTAGAATATAGATGACGAACAAACACACGACGTATCTGGTCAACCAAGCGTAGAAACAGAGTAATTTACACCAAAGATAATAGCATTCAAATAGTAACTTGAAACTAGAAATGCCTTTATTCATGCAAGTCAATTTAACAATTACTCTCTCGTTTACACTTGGCTTATCCTCACTAAACTGAGCAATATCTTTCGTCTTTTCAAACGCACCAGTACTATCATAGTCATTGCACAAGATACTTGAGTTGATGGGCATCCTTCTCATTGTGGATGACAACACCAACGACGACTGATTGATACCAGTTGATGAACTTAGCGGTGGATCAGAAGCTGTTGTTGCTCGGCTTTCAGATAGTTGTCTAACTGCAAGATTACCACCACTGCTGTCTTTCACTACTAGTTCGGGTTTAGCACTAGCATCTGATGATAGGTGGGCTACACGCTGATCAATTACACTGACGGTCTCACAAGTATGCATGCCTTCTGCAACTGCATCTGCATTCAATTCTACTTCACGTTCAAGTTGTACAGAACCTTTATTCAACTTAGCAGTAGTAGGCATTCCCCTCATTTCATCATGATCAACCAAAGACAAATCTGCGCTATCATGATCATTATCACAAATATTCAATTTACCATCATCTATCTGATCGACTTCATCAATTTCAAACTCTTTAATAACAGCAGTAGATGATTTGGGTTCTTCTTCACAAATCCCTAAAGATTTCATACCTTCACTCTGACTAGTAATACCTTGTAAACTTGTGGAGTCAGAACTGCACTCTGAAGCAATAACTCTATTCTGTGACACTCTATTCAACAATGGCTTACCAGTTGCAACTACAGACTTCTTGACCACACCGTTATCGTCACACAATTCGGAGTCAGGCCTGGAGTTTACATTTAGCTTATCACTGAACTTGCTCACTGGTTCACAGTTCACTTTTGTATGCACCTCTTGCAAACGTGTAAAACACAACCGTGTTTGTCTTGCATCTTGTAACTTATCTGTTGAGGATGTACTACGAAACCTGTTACACTCACTAGGTCTATATGCATTACTAGACATCATGGAGCCTTCTCGATATCCACCTCTCTGAGGCCCTTTCGTCATCAATGATTGCATTTTGCTCTCAGACTGCTCTATTCTAGGGGTGAGATGTAATAGACTGGCGAACTTGCTCATAGATAGATTGACGCTATCTTTTACTAGTTTCAGGATATCATCAAACTTTGGCTCGATACCCTCATCCTCCATACGGGAGCTTATCTTCACCCACTTCCTTTGCAGTCGAGTAGGTAGGCGTCTTGCTATTACTTCTAGTATAAAACTCGAGTTGAGGTCACTCATGCAATTCATCGAAATCAATGCATTCTTGTAAATCAGCAAATTATCCAAAAACTCAGTGAGTGCCTGGGATTCATCCTGTAATTGACCACCATTACCCTTAACAGCCTCGAATAATTTCCCTACAATCATCGAAGGTCTTCCAAACCTTTGACGTAGTATGCTCATAGCCTCGTAGTAGCCCTCTTTCGGCTTCATAAACTTACAGCACTGTATAGCTCTTGAAGCATCTCCAGTGCAATACCTCATCAAATACATTAACTTCATTTCATCAGTTAATAAAAAACCACTTAGCATGATCTCAAACTCCTTTACAAATTGTAAATAATCAGCCGGGTTTCCATCGAAACACCGTGGTTCAAATTTAGGGAGTTTGATGTTCCTATTATCCCTGAACGGCGAAACAGTAACAACAACCATGTCATGCCGAACATCAGACACATCGTTACAATTAACAGACAAGTCAACATGACTTACTTTCCTGTTTGCATCCAAGACGCTCTGTCCCTTCTTTGACCCAGGCATTGTTGAACTTGACCCAATTCTAAAAACGTTCCAGATATTGCTTGTTCAAAGAGGACTTGACCGGCACCAGGAAAGATGAACGGTGACTATCCAAAATCGTGCCAACTGTCCGAAACCGTTTAAAAACTGACGTTGTACTGTCAGAAACTGTCAGCCAAGTCTCATAAACCGTTAATGCCCAGCTCTTGCTGCACTTGGGCTCACGCTTTTCCTTGAAGTTTCTCAGAAACCCTTAGTACGAACGGACGCAAAAACTAAAACACCAATTGGTGACTCGAGGATTCTTTATTGTAACACCAACATATAAACACTGTTACAACTAAGGTCTGTGAACAAATATTACAATAATAAATCACAGTATTACTTCTGACAGTTTTCTCCTGACTTCTTTCTGAACAGCGACTGATGAGACGATGACTGGCTGATTAATGCCTCCGCGAAAATTGGGGAAGTTGGTTTTGAGCGAACAGCTATGAATTGATCGTTCAATCTTCAACTACATTGACACTCCCCGGCAAAAAAGGGATCCATCCATTTTTTCCATCACGACCAATACACGTTGACTTGGATGCCATTGCGAGAACCTGGGTCACGCGGACAGAGCTGAAATGGAAAACAAACAGAAAAGCCAACACACCACAAGCATACCCACAGCACAATCTCACACATCAATGACGACATGCGCCTCCAGACAGAGACCTCCTCTTGACATCTTGCAACACAATCGCCACTTGCTAGAATGACTCTTGAAGAATGCAACGTGACCATAGCACCACCTCACGATACTCTACGCACATCCTCTTATCTACTCACTACTAATTACCACTGCAATCGCTTGTCACTCATTCTGCCTCAGTTCTAGTAACGGTGACGTATGCGAGCCTCAGTCGTCTACACTCCCGCTCCCCGGCGTGTGGGACTGCACCTAACAATTATCTCCGTATGCATTTCATTCTCAGCAATAGCCTCCCCGGCGTATACGACCCATCTGCTGTCTCTAACATCAATCAACTCATTCACGGATGTAGAAGACTCGAAACAACTTCAGAAGTAAGCACGACGACAATTTTAACAAAATTACGCAATAACAACAAGGTACGAAAACAACGAGTAAACACAACGAATCAAAAAACACCAATTGATATGACACACCACACATATATACAAACGGTACACACAAACTCGCGGATCACGTCTTGATGGAATTCCTTTGAAGAATCTCAGGACTTACACCAGTACACCTACAATCCTTCTCAGGTTAACCATTGTGAGTTGTGGAATGTCCGGACACAAACAAGATCAACCAACAATTACAATAATTGCAACTCACACAATTATTTAACACAAACATATGTACAATCACTACATCAAATGTTGTGGATTCTGGTACGACAAACTACCCTTGAAGAACTGTAGGACTTACAGCAGTACGCCTACAACCCTTCTCAGGTTGACGCTCTAGGTTGGAAAATCATCGCAGAGTTCATTTGCTAACTTCCTTCTATGAGCTATATCCTCAAATCTGAACGGTAACACGCCCATGTCATTGTATCGTAGAATATAGATGACGAACAAACACACGACGTATCTGGTCAACCAAGCGTAGGCACAGAGTAATTTACACCAAAGATAATAGCATTCAAATAGTAACTTGAAACTAGAAATGCCTTTATTCATGCAAGTCAATTTAACAATTACTCTCTCGTTTACACTTGGCTTATCCTCACTAAACTGAGCAATATCTTTCGTCTTTTCAAACGCACCAGTACTATCATAGTCATTGCACAAGATACTTGAGTTGATGGGCATCCTTCTCATTGTGGATGACAACACCAACGACGACTGATTGATACCAGTTGATGAACTTAGCGGTGGATCAGAAGCTGTTGTTGCTCGGCTTTCAGAAATTTGTCTAACTGCAAGATTACCACCACTGCTGTCTTTTACTATCAGCTCCGCTTTAGCACTAGCATCTGATGATAGGTGGGCTTCACTCTGATCAATTACACTGACTGTCTGACAATTATGCATGCCTTGTGCAACTGCATCTACATTCAATTCTACTTCACGTTCAAGTTGTACAGAACCTTCGTTCAACTTAGCAGTAGTAGGCATTCCCCTCATTTCATCATGATCAACCAAAGACAAACCTGCGCTATCATGATCATTATCACAAATATTCAATTTACCATCATCTATCTGATCGACTTCATCAATTTCAAACTCTTTAATAACAGCATTAGATGATTTGGGTTCTTCTTCACAAATCCCTAAAGATTTCATACCTTCACTCTGACTAGTAATACCTTGTAAACTTGTGGAGTCAGGACTGCACTCTGAAGCAATAACTCTATTCTGTGACACTCTATTCAACAATGGCTTACCAGTTGCAACTACAGACTTCCTGACCACACCGTTATCGTCACACAATTCGGAGTCAGGCCTGGAGTTTACATTTAGCTTATCACTGAACTTGCTCACTGGTTCACAGTTCACTTTTGTATGCACTTCTTGCAAACGTGCAAAACACAACCGTGTTTGTCTTGCATCTTGTAACTTATCTGTTGACGATGTACTACGAAACCTGTTACACTCACTAGGTCTATATGCATTACTAGACATCATGGAGCCTTCTCGATATCCACCTCTCTGAGGCCCTTTCGTCATCAATGACTGCATTTTGCTCTCAGACTGCTCTATTCTAGGGGTGAGATGTAATAGAATGGCGAACTTGCTCATAGATAGATTGACGCTATCTTTTACTAGTTTCAGGATATCATCAAACTTTGGCTCGATACCCTCATCCTCCATACGGGAGCTTATCTTCACCCACTTCCTTTGCAGTCGAGTAGGTAGGCGTCTTGCTATTACTTCTAGTATAAAACTCGAGTTGAGGTCACTCATGCAATTCACCGAAATCAATGCATTCTTGTAAATCAGCAAATTATCCAAAAACTCAGTGAGTGCCTGGGATTCATCCTGTAATTGACCACCATTACCCTTAACAGCCTCGAATAATTTCCCTACAATCATCGAAGGTCTTCCAAACCTTTGATGTAGTATGCTCATAGCCTCGTAGTAGCCCTCTTTCGGCTTCATAAACTTACAGCACTGTATAGCTCTTGAAGCATCTCCAGTGCAATACCTCATCAAATACATTAACTTCATTTCATCAGTTAATAAAAAACCACTTAGCATGATCTCAAACTCCTTTACAAATTGTAAATAATCAGCCGGGTTTCCATCGAAACACCGTGGTTCAAATTTAGGGAGTTTGATGTTCCTATTATCCCTGAACGGCGAAACAGTAACAACAACCATGTCATGTCGAACATCAGACACATCGTTACAATTAACAGACAAGTCAACATGACTTACTTTCCTGTTTGCATCCAAGATGCTCTGTCCCTTCTTTGACCCAGGCATTGTTGAACTTGACCCAATTCTAAAAACGTTCCAGATATTGCTTGTTCAAAGAGGACTTGACCGGCACCAGGAAAGATGAACGGTGACTATCCAAAATCGTGCCAACTGTCCGAAACCGTTTAAAGACTGACGTTGTACTGTCAGAAACTGTCAGCCAAGTCTCATAAACCGTTAATGCCCAGCTCTTGCTGCACTTGGGCTCACGCTTTTCCTTGAAGTTTCTCAGAAACCCTTAGTACGAACGGACGCAAAAACTAAAACACCAATTGGTGACTCGAGGATTCTTTATTGTAACACCAACATATAAACACTGTTACAACTAAGGTCTGTGAACAAATATTACAATAATAAATCACAGTATTACTTCTGACAGTTTTCTCCTGACTTCTTTCTGAACAGCGACTGATGAGACGATGACTGGCTGATTAATGCCTCCGCGAAAATTGGGGAAGTTGGTTTTGAGCGAACAGCTATGAATTGATCGTTCAATCTTCAACCACATTGACACTCCCCGACAAAAAAGGGATCCATCCATTTTTTCCATCACAACCAATACACGTTGACTTGGATGCAATTGCGAGAACCTGGGTCACGCGGACAGAGCTGAAATGGAAAACAAACAGAAAAGCCAACACACCACAAGCATACCCGCAGCACAATCTCACACATCAATGACGACATGCGCCTCCAGACAGAGACCTCCTCTTGACATCTTGCAACACAATCGCCACTTGCTAGAATGACTCTTGAGGAATGCAACGTGACCATAGCACCACCTCACGATACTCTACGCACATCCTCTTATCTACTCACTACTAATTACCACTGCAATCGCTTGTCACTCATTCTGCCTCAGTTCTAGTAACGGTGACGTATGCGAGCCTCAGTCGTCTACACTCCCGCTCCCCGGCGTGTGGGACTGCACCTAACAATTATCTCCGTATGCATTTCATTCTCAGCAATAGCCTCCCCGGCGTATACGACCCATCTGCTGTCTCTAACATCAATCAACTCATTCACGGATGTAGAAGACTCGAAACAACTTCAGAAGTAAGCACGACGACAATTTTAACAAAATTACGCAATAACAACAAGGTACGAAAACAACGAGTAAACACAACGAATCAAAAAACACCAATTGATATGACACACCACACATATATACAAACGGTACACACAAACTCGCGGATCACGTCTTGATGGAATTCCTTTGAAGAATCGCAGGACTTACACCAGTACGCCTACAACCCTTCTCAGGTTAACCATTGTGAGTTGTGGAATGTCCGGACACAAACAAGATCAACCAACAATTACAATAATTGCAACTCACACAATTATTTAACACAAACATATGTACAATCACTACATCAAATGTTGTGGATTCTGGTACGACAAACTACCCTTGAAGAACTGTAGGACTTACAGCAGTACGCCTACAACCCTTCTCAGGTTGACGCCCTAGGTTGGAAAATCGTCGCAGAGTTCATTTGCTGACTTCCTTCTATCAGCTATATCCTCAAATCTGAACGGTAACACGCCCATGTCATTGTATCGTAGAATATAGATGACGAACAAACACACGACGTATCTGGTCAACCAAGCGTAGGAACAGAGTAATTTACACCAAAGATAATAGCATTCAAATAGTAACTTGAAACTAGAAATGCCTTTATTCATGCAAGTCAATTTAACAATTACTCTCTCGTTTACACTTGGCTTATCCTCACTAAACTGAGCAATATCTTTCGTCTTTTCAAACGCACCAATACTATCATAGTCATTGCACAAGATACTTGAGTTGATGGGCGTCTGTTTCATTGTGGATGACAACACCAACGACGACTGATTGATACCAGTTGATGAACTTAGCGGTGGATCAGAAGCTGTTGTTGTTCGGCTTTCAGATAGTTGTCTAACTGCAAGATTACCACCACTGCTGTCTTTCACTACTAGTTCGGGTTTAGCACTAGCATCTGATGATAGGTGGGCTACACGCTGATCAATTACACTGACGGTCTCACAAGTATCCATACCTTCTGCAACTGCATCTGCATTCAATTCTACTTCACGTTGTAGTTGTACAGAACCTTTATTCAACTTAGCAGTAGTAGGCATTCCCCTCATTTCATCATGATCAACCAAAGACAAATCTGCACTATCATGATCATTATCACAAATATTCAATTTACCATCATCTATCTGGTCGACTTCATCAATTTCAAACTCTTTAATAACAGCAGTAGATGATTTGGGTTCTTCCTCACAAATCCCTAAAGATTTTATACCTTCACTCTGACTAGTAATACCTTGTAAACTTGTGGAGTCAGAACTGCACTCTGAAGCAGTAACTCTATTCTGTGACACTCTATTCAACAATGGCTTACCAGTTGCAACTACAGACTTCTTGACCACACCGTTATCGTCACACAATTCGGAGTCAGGCCTGGAGTTTACATTTAGCTTATCACTGAACTTGCTCACTGGTTCACAGTTCACTTTTGTATGCACCTCTTGCAAACGTGTAAAACACAACCGTGTTTGTCTTGCATCTTGTAACTTATCTGTTGAGGATGTACTACGAAACCTGTTACACTCACTAGGTCTATATGCATTACTAGACATCATGGAGCCTTCTCGATATCCACCTCTCTGAGGCCTATTCGTCATCAATGATTGCATTTTGCTCTCAGACTGCTCTATTCTAGGGGTGAGATGTAATAGACTGGCGAACTTGCTCATAGATAGATTGACGCTATCTTTTACCAGTTTCAGGATATCATCAAACTTTGGCTCGATACCCTCATCCTCCATACGGGAGCTTATCTTCACCCACTTCCTTTGCAGTCGAGTAGGTAGGCGTCTTGCTATTACTTCTAGTATAAAACTCGAGTTGAGGTCACTCATGCAATTCATCGAAATCAATGCATTCTTGTAAATCAGCAAATTATCCAAAAACTCAGTGAGTGCCTGGGAGTCATCCTGTAATTGACCACCATTACCCTTAACAGCCTCGAATAATTTCCCTACAATCATCGAAGGTCTTCCAAACCTTTGACGTAGTATGCTCATAGCCTCGTAGTAGCCCTCTTTTGGCTTCATAAACTTACAGCACTGTATAGCTCTTGCAGCATCTCCAGTGCAATACCTCATCAAATACATTAACTTCAATTCATCAGTTAATAAAAAACAACTCAACATGATCTCAAACTCCTTTACAAATTGTAAATAATCAGCCGGGTTTCCATCGAAACACCGTGGTTCAAATTTAGGGAGTTTGATGTTCCTATTATCCCTGAACGGCGAAACAGTAACATCAACCATGTCATGCTTAACATCAGACACATCGTTACAATTAACAGACAAGTCAACATGACTTACTTTCCTGTTTGCATCCAAGACGCTCTGTCCCTTCTTTGACCCAGGCATTGTTGAACTTGACCCAATTCCAAAAACGTTCCAGATATTGCTTGTTCAAAGAGGACTTGACCGGCACCAGGAAAGATGAACGGTGACTATCCAAAGTCGTGCCAACTGTCCAAAACCGTTTAAAAACTGACGTTGTACTGTCAGAAACTGTCAGCCACGTCTCGTAAACCGTCAATGCCCAGCTCTTGCTACGCTCGGGCTCACGCTGTTCCTTGAAGTTTCTCAGAAACGCTTAGTAATAACGGACGAAAAAACCAAAACACCAATTGGCGACTCGAGGATTCTTTATTGTAACTCCAACATATAAACAATGTTACAACTAAGGTCTGTGAACAAATATTACAATAATGAATCACAATATTACTTCTGACAGTTTTGGCCTGACTTCTTTCTGAACAGCGACCGACGAGACGATGACTGGTGTATTGATGCCTCCGCGAAAATTGGGGAAGTTGGTTTTGAGAAAACAACCATGAATTGATCGTTCAGTCTTTAACTACATTTGCATAATCACCTTTCAAATGTTATCGGATCAACTGCTGCAATAACTACTATGGCTTATATAGGCTTCCTCATATTTAACCCTTATTCTGACACACTGAACACCATATTCAGTAAGCACTATGATAGCACTGCGACTTCATCAATGCCCTACGTGCTTGGTTCCGATTCACCCAGCCCTCCACTGATACACTAAGTGGCATATTAAAAGCCCTTCAGTTGTCGGAATAGACGGATGATGTAATTGCACAATGGTGAGATGCATTAGTGAAGCTCAGAACCCTAACGATAAACACAGATCCCAAGCCTCTAACCTACCCACCCAG